ATTATTGATTTATTTTAAATTGTATAGGCAAAGGTTTAAAAAAATTAAATCCTTACACTCAAGGGAAAAATAAAAAGTTTTCAATCATCTATATACTAAAGAGCTAATATGCTAATTAGACAGAACAGCAGAATGACCATCTGACACGATGGTCGTCCATTCTGGATGAAGCTGGGCTGCCAGGGCCGAGGCAGCCAGGGCTGCGAGGGCCGAGGCAGTTGGGGCTTGGAGAGCTGAGCCCCTTGCATGAATTTTGTACATCGGGCCTCTAGTAAACATATAACATAACATTAGTTTCAAGTGTACAAGGAACACTTTTTAAAGGGGCCAACTCAGTTAGCTTGTCTCTGGCTTTTTGCCCTTTGTCCTCTGCCATCTATCTTCCTGGAATATGGATGTGGTACTCAGAGGTGAAGCATAAAGACAAAAGAGAAGCGTGATCTTACCCAAAGCTAAGAGGAGCCTAGATGCCCATGGCCACTGAGGAGATAGTGTGCTAATCCTGGCAGCCTTCCCCTCAACTTGATTATGGGAGAAAACTATACTCCTCTTTGGTTGGACCTCTGTGGTCAAGTTTCAGTTTTATGCAGCGGATACACACCAACTGATAACAGTTGTACGCTGACGTTTACCTGCTCAAAAATTGTGAAACTGATCACGCACAGGATGATTGAAGCTCGCAGATAGGATGTAGGACCAGAGTAAATGAAGTGCCCCTGCCTCCTCCTCCTGGACCCTGCTGCACTCTCCTTCCCCAGGGGGGACAGCCACCCACTTCTTGTGGCAATATTTCCTCCTAGTTTGCTGCCATTCCCTTTCAACATTAGTCTCTTGTTCTTATTTTTTAAAGCAACGAGTTTCCTCTCCAAATTACATTAAGACAATAAACAAGACTTTTTTTAAAAAAGCAAAAACTCTAAAGGGACAAAGAGGTTGGCAGAGAAAACAGCAACAAAATTTTAGGAGCAAAAAAGCAGATGGACAAGCAGTGACTGACCCAGCCAACCAGATGAGGCCAAGTCTCAAGTTTCTCAAGAGGGTAGGGAGGCCGAAGCGAGCTAATTTCTGGTGTGAAACTCCAGAAAGACTCCGGATTTGGAAGCGACCCATACCTCTGAAAGGGGAGTATAAATGGGGCTGGAAAAAATGAGAGGTTTCATTGAAAGTGGGTGTATCAGCCAGGATCTGTCAGGAGACAGAAACCACACCAATTATTTCAATAGAAGGAATTTAATATAAAGAACTGCTAACTAGGCATAAAGTTGTTAACTAGATAACTGAAAGGGTAAAAAGAGGACTGCAAGGTATCACTCCCAGGGCTGCAGGGAAAGGGGGAAAGGATGGAATTATTAGAACCTAGAAGCTTGGAGGAGGGGCCTGTGGGACTGGGACCCAGGCCGCTGAGAAGGGGTTGCTGCTCCGCTAGGGCTCCTGTCGCTGGCGTGGGGGCCATGATCAGGCTGGTTCTGTGAGTGCTGGAAACACTGCAAACTGACTTAAGCTGTTGCTGCAGGAAGGCCCTGCTGCTGCAGTGACACTTCATTGGGTGCTACTCACAGCAGTGGGAAGAAAACAGGAAGTAGCTTGCCCTTGTCTCCCCAGCCTTCCAGTTTCCCTCTGTTGCCCTCTATGGGCAGAGCCGAACAGAGAACAGCTGGTGAAATGATGGTTTTCAGGGTCCCAACCACAGTGTTGCAAAGCTGAGTACAGGAGAGTTGGGCTTAGAGCTGGGAGACAATAGCATAATAACCGGCAGCACTGGTCTTAGAAGCAAATGCGAACCCAGATCTCCAACCTCAGCAAGGCAACTGCTGCTCCTTCCGTGGCACCTGAATACTGTTCTCTGGAGCGTAGGATGTCTCTGGACTGGGGACGTTAAGCACTATTGAGAGGGGGATCCTATATTAAAAATAGGGATTAAGTGAAGGCTTGCTAAACATCAAGACCTCAGCCATCTTTTCCCAAATGACCTCCACTGCAAGTGAGATATATATTCTCCAGGAAGGGAGTGGGAAGCTTCTCTGAGAATCTTATATCAATACTAGAGGCCCAGTGCAAGGGATTCATGCACTGGTGGGGGGCATGGCCTGCGGGGATCAGCCACTGTGCGAGCACCGCTCATCCCACTCAACCGAGCAACACTCCCACTGTGGGAGTGCACAGACCACCAGGGGGCAGCTCCTGCATTGAGTGTCTGCCCCCTGGTGATCAGTACATGTCATAGCAACTGGTCGACTAGTTGTTCGGGTCATTCCACCATTCTGTTGCTGGGCTTTTATTATACAGGATAAGGCTAGCTATAGTACAGTGACATCTACCATCAGTAACCCCCACCAAGCTCGCTTCCAATCAGGTTTCAGGTTATGATATTAAATGTGAGCAAGTAGCCTAGGACTACCAGACATTGTAGAAAACTAAGATCCAAGACAGAGGCTAAAACATTGAGAAAAAAAGATCGTGGAGGAAACTATGCTGAGAGATATCATTTTTGGAATTTTAATTTTTTGAGAATAAGAGAAGACATTGCAACCAAATAAAAAAATATTTAGAGAATAGGAAAGAATTACAAATAGGATAGCAGAAGTGAAAAACTCAATAAGAGTTGAGGCAATCTTCCAGAATATGGAGCAAAAAGAAAATGGGAGATAAAAGATATAAAACCATTGTGTCAGTCAGGAAGTCCAACATGTGAATAATGAGTTTTAGAGTAAGAGCATATAGAAAATGGAAGGGTGAAATCATCGAAGACATGATCAAGAAAATTTCTCTGCCTTGAAGGATACATTTCCAGATTGAAAGGGCTCACTGTGCATGAGCTGAGAAAAAAAAAATAACAACTATAACAAGGCACATAATCATGAAGTTTTAGAACACAAGGGACAAAGGAAAGATTCTGTGAGCTGCAGGAGAAAAATTAGTTACACCTGGCTGGGGCCAACCTCAGGAAACTTTGTTAGAGACCTCAACTTGCTGCCCAAGTACTCTGGCAATAATGAAATGCAACTATGATAAATGGCTATCATTTATTAAGCACAAAGACTTCATATTTGTCATCTCTTAATTTTATAACCACCCAACAAATCAGATAATCCTATTCACATATTTAAAATGAGGAGATTGGAGCTCTAGGAGGTATGTGACTTGAATAAGTTCACATAGCTATTAATAGTTAATAACAGTAGCCCAGCCAGTGTGGTTTAGTGATTGAGTGTTGACCTATGAACCAGGAGGTCATGGTTCGATTCCCGGTTAGGGCACCTGGTCGGGTTGTAGGCTTGATCCCCAGTGCGGGGCATGCAGGAGGCAGCTGATCCATGATTCTCTCTCATCATTGAAGTTTCTGTCTCTCTCTCCCTCTCCCTTCCTCTCTGAAATCAATAAAAATATATTTTAAAAATAGTTAATAACAGTAGTTAATATACTAGTATATTAAATGCTTACTATATGTCAGATGCCCCATTCTATAACATACATTATTGGTTGCCTAGCCACCAGCCATCCCACATCTTACCTGCTAACAGATCCTAATTTTGTTCAGATATCGATTCCTCAGAAAAAGGGACCTTATCTCACGCATGATGGTCCAAGCCAATCAGAGTAATCCTACTCCCTTTTGTCAGTGATTGAATTAAATGCAGGCTGTGACCCAGCTCTGGCCAAAGATGTGGGGAAAGAAGTCAGTGAAGAATTTCTGGGAAAGGTTTTCTTCCTTTTAAAAAGACACAGAAGAAAGAGATGGCTCTTCTACTACATATTGTAGTGTGGGGGTGCGATTCCTGGAAATGTGGCAGCCATCTTATGACCATAAGGGGAGACAGAAAAAAATTAGTTACATAGGGTCATGTAACAGAATGGGTGTGAACTTATCAACAGCAACATTTGGAACCATTCAAAATGCCGAGGAAAATGAATTCCAGCCTAGAATTCTATACCTTCAAAACAGTCAATCAATGTGAGCATAAATACATTTTGTCCGGGCCAGGTAGCTTAGTTGGTTAGAGCATCATCCCCATACACCAAGGTTGTGGGTTCAATCCTTGGTCAGGGCACTTACAAGAATAACAAACACATTTTTGGATAGGCAAAGTCTCAAAAAATTTATCTCCGATGTACCCAATTTTCAGAAGCTACTGGAACTGTTGCTTCAAAACAAGGGATAGAACCAAGAAAGAGGAAGACATGGAGACCAAGAAATGGAAGATGTAACTCAAGAGAAAGGAGACAGGAGCTCCCAGGATTACAGTGAAAGGAAAGTCTAAGACAGCAGCTGAACCAGGAACAGAGAGAACAGATAGAGATCGGAACAGGCCAAATATTAATTCTTCAAGGAGATGAAATTGATGGAATACTTGATGAATTTGAACATATTGAAAGGAGACTTAGACAATAAAGGAAGATTTGGGGGATGAATTTATTATAAGTCTATAGGAAATGACACAAATGAGAAAACCAAGGAATTTTAATTTAAAATTTAATTCCAGGCCAAAGAAAAACCTGAGTGAGCAAGGAAAAGTAATCACGGGGTACAACTTAGTGATGAATTACATTTACATAATCATGGTAATATACAGAATGAATATTGGGTTAGCCACATGATCTTATATCTATACTGTATTGGGAGGCTTGGGGGCTGGAAAGTGTGGCTGTATGTGTTAAGCCAGGAGAAGGGAAATTAGTGAAATAGCAAAAGTCTTCATTTTTCAAATTGAGCCATCAACCGATAATGCCTCCCTACACTGCACAAAGCCAGAGTTGTCACTACAAGCACGCTGTGTCGTGATAGGAAGGGAAACACCAGAAGAAACGGTTAGAAGAGAAAATGGTTGCCTGTGGGGAGTGGGGAATGCAGGCAGCGGGGGGTTAGAGGCCTGTCCTTTTTTCCATTCCTAGCCTTTATTAGTAGTAATAATAAGCACTACATTTAAAGCACAAGAAACCAAAACAGTTTTTTAAGAAAAAGAGCCAATTATTAACTCAAGGCAAATGCGAGTTATTCAAGAGAGGAAAGAACATGGCCGGGGCCGAGCTGTGACTCCGAGTTACATAACGTCCCATGGTGTTCTTTCTGCCTCGCACACCCACCTACCCGTCCCCAGCGGCTCGGTGCCCAGGAGGCAGGCTTCGATGAACTCTGCCTACACACTCCTGTGCCCTCCGGCTTCCAGGTGGGTTCTGCCTGCGGAGGGGCCCAGCCGGGGAGGAGAGGGCGGGAGAAGGACCTTAGGGGTTTGTGGTCATTTCAGGCTGGCTACGTGTCTTCACAGCAGTTCCAGCTGCAGCAGGAGGCTCCCTGCCTCTGGAGCTCTTGGTCTCTAGGTTCTTTGGGGCCCGAGTGGTAA